ATCTACAAAGCGGTTATTGTTGTTATTCATGATGAAAGTGTTTTTCCTTTTAAGACATCCCAGTCCATACATGCTACTTCTTTTGTGCCTACTTCATCAACCCAAAGGGAGTTATCTAGAGTAGTTTCTGGTGTGTTGTCAAATGGATCTGAGCAACATAGGATGACTAATGTGGTCAATGCTCAATCCATGGATCTACATTCTATTTCTTCTCAATCTTCTGGTACACTATCAGGTTCAGAATTGTTACCATTACAAGCTACTACTACTCTCCATCAAACTTCTTCTTCTCCAAGGTTGCCTGTCCATAACCCTTCCCAAATTCAGGTAACTTCCAACTCTGAAGATTTATCTCCTAATGTTTGTTCAACATATGATCATATGGTTGTTCCATCTTCTGTTTCTCTTGATGGTGTGGCTAGTTCATCTTCTGTTTCTCTTCATGATGTCAATGATCATGGGGTTAATAATGATGTCATTAATGTGCCTTCTGAGCATAATATGATTGTAAGATTAAAAAGTGGAGCTATACAAAGGAATGATTATTCTGGTTATTGTGTTTTTGTCTCTATGAGTCCAGATTCTTCTTCTTGTCCAGCTTCTTCTTCTTCTTCATCTGGTGATGATATTGTCTTTCGTGGTTTGACTGCTATACTGGATATTCATGAGTCTTCAGAACCAACTCATTACAAGTAAGCTGTTACTTCGGAGAATTGGAGAAATGCAATGAAGGAAGAATTTGAAGCTTTGCAAAAACAAGGTACTTGGGAATTTGTACAAGTTCCACCAAACAGAAATGTCATCGGCAGCAAGTGGGTGTATAAGATCAAGAAGGATCAAGATGGGAAGGTGTCCAGGTACAAGGCAAGGCTTGTAGCTCAAGGTTTTAGCTAAGAACATGGTTTGGACTGTGAAGAAACATTGAGTCCAGTGGTCAGACATACAATAGTAAGGCTAGTCTTGTCCCTAGCAGCAATGAACAAATGGGATTTAAGGCAGTTAGATGTGAAGAACACATTTCTTCATGGAGAATTACAAGAAGAGGTGTTTATGAAACAACCTCAAGGTTTCCAAGATTCTCTATATCCTACTCACGTCTGCAAGTTACTTAAGTCTCTATATGGACTTAAACAAGCTCCCAGATCCTGGAATGCCAAGTTTACAAGTTATCTCCCTACTTTGGAGTTTCAATCTTCTCATTCTGATCCTAGTTTGTTTGTGAAGATCAGTGGTTCTGATGTAGTGATCTTGCTATTGTATGTTGATGATTGATGCGAGAATTTATACGCACACAAATTAAACCCTCTTTTTATCAATTGTAGTAAGTATGTAAGTAGGGATCGTTCTTAACCGGGGATTAGGAGGGATTGCAAATCACTTGGAAACTGACTCAAAAACGTAAAATAAAGTTTAAAACACTAAACTAGACTCAAAGAATGCGAAACTAAACGCTTAAAATGCTAAAACAAACCAAAAGACTCAAACATCACCCAAAACACTCAAAACTGCCTTCAAAACACTTTCTGGGCAGTTTTGAGCACCTTGGTAAATTTGGATGAATTTGTGCAACAAATTGAATCAAAACACTTATAAACACAAACTAAGACACTTTCTAACTAATTTGGACAATAAAGTAAAGGGGGATTGGTTTTGGATGAATTTGAAATTAAAACAGAAACTTGGAAACAAAACAGATTGTAAAACGAATTTGATGGAATAGAATGGATGGGATGGCTAGCTAAGGGGTTCATCTCCACACATGTTACACTTGCATATAAAACGATTTCCAATTGCTTTTCAATAAACGATGATGCTCAACACCCCAAGTTAACCGTGATGCACTAATTAACTCTCAAATTTTCCTTATGTTATTGAATTGGATGATGCATGCGACAATTCAAATCATTCTCCAATGGTTCTCAACATGAATGCATAGAAGAGATACAATGAGAGATCATTATGTTCTATGAAAATTATAAGTGTTGACGAGGCAATTGTAACTATGAATGCATGATACTCTTGCCAAGAATTCATTTAACGCGATTGTTTATAAGCAACCTCCACTACTTGTGAATATAAGTTCATAACTATTAGGTGAAACTCACTTATATTCTAGCGTCATATTCATGCATGAAAATTAAGCGTGCATTCTCAATAAACATACATAAATAAGTTATCAATCAAACAGTTAAACAAATTAAATTCACAACTTATGAAACGCAATTAGAAGTAATCAAATTATATTGCAAGCATAAACATATATTTCGAATCCCCCCCTAGCCAAGGGGGGGTTTAGTTCCTCATACGCACAAAACAAAGAGAATTGAAATTAAACATTGAAATCAAGGAAAAGAAACACCTAAAAATTCCAACAACTCAAACTTGAATTGTATGAACGTTTAGGCCCTTCTCCTCCTCTTTGTTGCGGCACAAGGTCTAAGGATAGGTTTTGGGGGTTATGGATGGTGTAGAATGATGTGTTTAGGATAGGGATGGATGTAGGGGACTTCAAGGCTTATTTTTGGGCAGAAAATATGAAGAATGGTGAAGTATGGATGTGTTATAGAGAGGGGATGAATTTCTGGCGTGAATGGTGAATGAATGAATCATTTGTGGCTGCAATGGATGTTTATTTATAGGTGGATGAATGATTAAAGAAGGAATATGACAGCTAGGGAGAGAATGTGGCTGCCATCATGAAGAGTGCATGGATGTGGCTGAATAATCACATGGGAAAACATGTGGCTGAATGGATTAAAGAAGGAATGATGATGGGAGAGCATGTGGGTGACAACTAGGTTGGTTGGTGGCTGCAATGGAGGTGTGGAATGATGATGGGAGAGCATGTGGGTGCAGCTATGGTGGGAATTTTGGGCAGAAAATATCCTAAGGCTTTATTACTTAGTTTAGGAAAGGATGTAACTCATTTGATTAGGAATCCTCTTCAATTTCGTCCATTCCTTTTGCTCCAAACGTAAGCTATCCATTCCAAGCCCAATTTTGCTCCAAAATGCTCCAAAATGCACCTTTTTGCTTCCTTAGCCATATGAACCTAGAAACACACGAAAATGGCATAAAGGACTAAAATAACTAAAGAAACACAACGTAAATGCACGAGAACAAGCCAATTAAGTCGCATAAATATGCTCCTATCAATGATATTATCATCACAGGGTCTTCTTCCAAGTTGATACAACAAGTAATTGATGATTTAGCCAGTGTATTTGATATGAAAGATATGGGGAAGTTAACCTATTTTTTGGGGTTGCAAATAACCTACAGAGATAATGGTGACATCTTCATTAATTAGTCCAAATATGTTACTGATCTTCTAAATAAGGCTGGAATGATGCATTGCAAACCTTGTTCAACTCCGAGCAAGCCTCACATTCAGTTATTAAAGGATGAAGGGCAACCAATGGCTGATCCAATAGTTTACAGAAGTTTGGTTGGTGCATTACAGTATCTGACTTTCACTAAGCCTGATATTGCCTATGCAGTCAATTATGCATACCAGTTTATGACAACTCCAACTGAAGAACATTTTTGTTTGATTAAAAGAATTCTTCGATATCTTAAAGGTACGATGCATTGTGGATTGACATATTCTGCTCAGGGACAAATGGAATTACGCGCTTATAGTGATGCAGACTGGGCTGCTGATATAAACACCAGAAGGTCTATCATTGGATATATTGTCTTTCTCGGTTCAAATCCTGTATCATGGCAGTCCAAGAAACAAGGCAGTGTGTCTCGCAGCTCTACTGAGGCAGAGTATAAAGCACTCGCTAATGTTGCTGCAGATGTAGCTTGGATTAGATTAGTTCTTAAAGATTTTCATATTTTTCTTCCATCTGCATCGTTGTTACATTGTGATAATCTTTCCACGTTAGCCTTGTGTTCTAATCCAGTCTTTCATACTCGGATTAAACACTTGGATACTGATTTTCATTTTGTTTGTGAAAGAGTTCAAAAGGGCGGTCTAGGGGTTCAATATATTCCTACCGAAGCTCAGGTTGCAGATGTTTTGACCAAAGGTTTACACAGTCCTTTATTTGTTCATCATTATACCAATCTCAGACTAGGTTTCCCCAGTTGAGATTGAGGGGGCGTATTAACCAAGGATATATGTGTATGGGTATTTTAGTCATATTGTTTATAGCTGTGGTTAAGGTGATTAGCTGTCTTAGTTAATAAGTTTTGACAGCTGTAAGTTTGTTTTTTAGGCTTTTAGATATATATACCACTGTAAAGGATAGTTTTTACTGATTTCAGTTAATACAACAACTTCTTCCTCAAGATACAATTCTCTCTCTACTCTGATATTTTGCTGTTCTTCGTTCTCACGTTTTCTTGCTGTTTGATGGAGATTTTATGGCTTAATCTGCCATGCTTATGAGGTGATGGGGTGGTGATGATGGTGGTAGACATGGCGGTCAGGGTGATGGTGGTGCAGGTGATGGCCATAGCAGGTAGTGATGACACTCATGGCAATGATGGGTAGTGGCGGCGATGGTTTCTATGTGGCAGTGGAAGTGGAGGAGATGGTCATGGTAAGATGGTGGTAGCAACATGATGGTGGAAGTGGTGATAATTATAGTCATTGCATTATGGTAGGTGGTGGAGTATATTATCAGAGAATTGAGAAAAACAAAATCCACTAGTCTTAGGGGGGAGATTAGATTTGCTATGACAAAAAAACTTACTATAAAAGCACTCAAAGTCCATCAAAATCCATGACTTTTTAAAATAAGTGAAGTTTTGAATACAATTGATTTTTGTAAATTCAAAAAAGTCATAAAGAAATACCACAATGTTGTAAATGGTTGTGAATGCCCACATAAACAAGCACGTGAAATAGAAGAATGGAAGTCAAAGAAGTTTGGTATTTACTATTTAGTTGTATAGAATTTCAACGTTCAATATTTGGTATTGTAGACTTTTGCATGTTAAGTGCTCTATATAAAGAGCATGCAATATATGATAAAGAATACGAGAAAGAAGAAACAGAAGAAGAGAAAGAAAGAAAAGAGAGAAAAGAAATAAGAGAGAGAGAGTAGAGAAAGATAGTGAGAGTTATCTTTGTACTTTTATTATTTAAGATCATGAAAGAAAGCACTATTGCTGCCTTGAGGATGTGGGCATACTTGCTGAATCTCGTAAATATTGTGTCTTATTTATTTTATATTCCACTACACACATATCCTTAATTTCACAACACACACAGAATTTTCATAGACTGTTTAGAAGTTATAAAAAGTCTTTATTCAATATAGGGTGATTTTTGTTGACTCCTTAAAAGCCTATATTGAATACACTTGAATTTGAGAGTCAAGTAAAGTCCATTAAACCCTATACACAATAACCTTCGTAATATTTATGGCCGCTCTCTCGCTATGTTGAGAGAGCCTTTAGTAGCAGATACATATGACTTACTGCTTAACCTTTAATCGTAGAGCGACAACTGTTCTTCAAATATGGTATGATGGTTTTGTAGTTTTTGGGATTGGCAAGAACTATGGAAATGCCTCATACTAAGATTTGTTGCCAACATGCATGATCAACAAATGGTGGTGTGATCTTACTCTCGAGACACCGTTTTTGTGGTTTGAGGGATTCAAGCCATGTTCTTGTCGTGTGTTATTGCAAGGTCTTCGTATGATGGTATGTTCTCCCGTGACTAGACTATTGTAGAGCTTCAGTTGTGTTGTTATTTTTTTCCCTCAAAGAAAAATTAACACCTATTAAGAGCATAATTATCGTAATACAATAACAACTATTATATGTACGTACATTAAAAAAATGACCTCCGATCCTTACTCAATGAATTAATTATAGAAAGATTGCGCGTATCAAAACTCCCATCCATTACGCCATTTCTTACTAAGAAAATCAATCTGAATCTATAATATAATAACGACGATGATGATGATTGTGTGCTTTATATAGTCAATCATAGTAGAGATAAAGTCCAACAAAAACTGACCGTTCATTAGCATTATGTTGCGATTGACACCTTTAAATTGTCCACAATTGACTCTATCTTTGTCCTCTCTCTCCATCCCACATCATTCTATCCTAGGATCACCCACACCCTACCACAACCGCACATGAATATTAAAAAATGGTCCCATAACTTCATCGGTAGGCGCCAACCCTCAAAGCTTATAGCTTTTGCCCAACAACTGTCTATATAAACGCTTTCAAGTTCCCATTGCTGTCTCACAACCATAAGCACTTTCTCTCCTCTTCACATTCACAACCAAAAACCACCACGTAAGTTTACAGATTGTGAACAGCCAAAACCAAAATCCCCATTCTTCCAAATTTTCAATTTTAGCGGTACATATATTTATTTTGATATCAAAGATGGATTACCAGTATGTTCTTGGTGGGGTGTTGGTTTCTCTGCTGGGGTCTGTTTTCTTCATGATCATCAACACCACTCTCAGCGGCGAGAAGAAGAAGGTGGTCGAGAAAGATTCCCGCAGCATTAACGGAGATGGGTACGTGAGGATGCCGTCCCAGAACGGCAGTTTTCAACCGGAGATTGCCAGCGGCACGGATGTTGTCATTGTCGGTGCCGGAGTTGCCGGTGCTGCCCTTGCTTACACTCTTGGAAAGGTGACAAAATAATTCTCTCTACATATAAAATGAATGTTATGGTTTTTAAACAATTCCCAATTCCAAGTTCCAAGTTCCAAGTTCTAAGTTTTTATTTTTTTAATTTTATAAATTTAGAAATTTGATGGTGAATGAAGAAGCAGTCAAGGCTTCAAAGCCGTGTTTGGTGACAGTGAAAATTAAAAAAAAAATTGCATTTCCTTTCTTTTTGAACAGAAGACGTAGTCGTTTAATCATTATTTATTAATTAAAATGTTATTACTTTTTAAAATCTATTTCCTCAAACAAACCCAGCTGAGCAGTCAGAGCTTCAAAGCCGTGTTTTCTGACATTTTCTTTTTTATTGTTCTCTCTATTTTTAGCGAATAAGCACTTAAACTTATATTCTATGAATTTTAAATAAAAGTTTTTTCCGCCCTTTAGGGATGATGATTTCAATAGCGCAGTCCAAGCCATTTTTAGTTTCGTTTTTTACAGTGCAAATAAACTGAGAAGGCTAGTTCAGATCTTCTTTAATTTCTTGGCTAATCGTGTGAGCTTTTGAGTCTAAACATATGTTTCTCTTCCTTGTTACAGGAAGGACGCCGTGTACATGTGATCGAAAGAGACTTAAGTGAGCCAGACAGAATTGTTGGTGAGCTGTTGCAGCCTGGAGGCTATCTCAAATTGATTGAGTTGGGTCTTGCGGGTAAGCAATTGCTTAAAATTGTTTAATTGGTTTAATCTTTTTTCATATTTCTATTCCAACTGATTAATTAGTACCAAGTTTATGTTCATCGATTTTGATCAACAAGTTATATTTGTGACATGCAGACTGTGCAAATGAGTCCATTGATGCTCAGAAAGTGTTTGGTTATGCTCTTTACAAAAATGGAAATGACACAAAACTGTCTTATCCCTTGGAAAACTATACTTCAGATATCGCCGGAAGAAGTTTCCATAACGGGCGTTTCATCCAAAGAATGCGTGAAAGGGTTGCAACTCTTAAAAAGTAATTCCCATTTATCCCTGCATTCATGATGTTTGGATTGTTTTAATTTATATAATATTTTTTAAATTGTTATTCATGTCGCTCGAATTTTCTCAACAGTGTGACACTAGAACAAGGAACTGTGACAACCCTAATTGAAGAAAAGGGCACCGTCAAGGGTGTGATGTACAAGAACAGGGCTGGAGAGGAGATGAGATCGTATGCTCCACTGACAATAGTATGCGATGGGTGCTTTTCAAATCTCCGCCGCAATCTCTGTACTCCAAAGGTTGACAATCCTTCTTGCTTCGTTGGTTTGATCTTGGAGAATTGTGACCTTCCACATGCAAACCATGGACATGTGATTTTGGGAGACCCTTCACCCATCTTATTTTACCCTATCAGTAGTACCGAGGTTCGTTGTTTAGTGGATGTTCCCGGCACGAAAGTACCTTCAGTAGCTAACGGTGAAATGGCGAAGTACTTGAAAACTGTGGTGGCTCCTCAGGTATCTATCCCTTGACTTGTTAGTTTCAATTTCACTGTGACAAATATATATCAATTGAAATGAACTAATAAGACGACTTTGGTATTTCAGGTTCCCCCCCAACTCTTGAAGTCTTTTCTAGCGGCGGTCGAGAAGGGAAATATCAGAACAATGCAAAATAAAAGCATGCCTGCTACTCCTGTTCCCACTCCTGGTGCAATTTTATTGGGTGATGCATTCAACATGAGGCACCCTTTAACCGGAGGAGGAATGACTGTGGCTCTTTCAGACATTGTTCTTCTAAGGGATCTTCTTAGACCCCTGACTGATCTCAGTGATGCACCAGCTTTGTGTGAATATCTCGAATCATTCTACACATTGCGCAAGGTATAAATCATCAATCCGATATACGATGAAAAAAACAAATTTATGGCTAGACAATAAGATATGTTAAGTTGTATTGTCTGACCCTAATTGAGAGTGACATCACGTATATTGATGAACAAGCACTATCTTGTATGTGAAATGTATAATGTGTCCGATTGTGTTTGTTTTCGATTTCCACCTTGCTGATAGGTGTTGTGCTTGGTTTTGTTTGCAGCCCGTTTCATCTACTATAAACACATTGGCCGGTGCCTTGTACAAGGTATTTTGTGCCTCACCTGACCCGGCAAGACAGGAAATGCGAGAAGCATGTTTCGACTATTTGAGCCTTGGAGGCATATGTTCATACGGACCTATATCGCTTCTCTCTGGACTTAACCCTCGTCCGATCCATCTGTTTCTCCATTTCTTTGCTGTGGCAGTCTATGGAATCGGCCGCTTAATGATTCCATTCCCTACGCCTAAACGTGTATGGCTCGGGACTAGGTTGATCTTGGTATGTTCACTAAAATTGCCAATATACTTCCTCTTTATCAACATACTTGTCATTTACAAATTAATACATACGTTACTTTTCACTTGAACTAAAATTTTGTTTTTCCTTTTATTTTCAGGGTGCATCAGGAATCATATTCCCCATTATTAAGGGTGAAGGAGTTAGACAAATGTTCTTTCCTGGAACAATCCCGGCATATTACAATGCTCCTCCTCTTCAATGAAGGATCGGGAACAAGCAATATTGAAGTATACATGGAGACAAAAAAAGCATGACTGCGAAGAAATATGGTTTCAAGCAGAGCAATTCAATTCATACTCTTATTTCTGACTACCGTAGAGTATAGTGACAACACTCATAATTAATGTACATGATATTCATACTCTTTTGTTTTATTCTATTGCAATTAGAATCAGAAGTTATTGTTCTTTTTGTTGTGCAAGACCTTTTACACTTTCTATGTATTTTGCCTCCTACGAGGCGACGAATTGTATCAGAACTTTGTCCAAACATTTGTTGTGGTAAATTTTTGGTGTTATAGTGTGATCAAATCATCTAATACTGAAAAACTTCAATGAAAACAAGTTCCCCATTTTAGTAAATTTGCTTTGTTTTAGGTTTTTATTCTTTTAGTGTGGTGTGATCCACACATTTCTTATTACCTTCCACACAAACCCTGTTAAATTTTACCTTCAAGTTAATCGATCCAACGACAAAAAATTAAGAGGCGTGTGTGGAAAGTAAAATCATGTGTGTAGATAGCACCATCCTTTTTGTAACACTATATTTAAGCACTACGAGAATAAGTAGTAGGGATTGATATATGTATGAATGTCTAATAAATGGTTATTAGGGACTAATTTATATATCAATGTTTAAAAATACTAAAAAGTTGGTCACTTAGTAATACGGTCTGATGGTATTTCTCTTCATTTGGAAGTGAGAGGTCATAGGTTCGAATCTTGTGGATGACGAATTCGATACCAAACTAGGTTGCCCATTATGTGACTTAGTCGAACTCCCCCTACTTCTAGTGTAAAACTATCGATGCACTAAACAAACAAAAAATACTAAAAAATCACTTATATATATGTGCCTTTTTCCATCTCAGAATTAGGGACGGATTGGTGTGCCAGTTGACTTTATATGTGTACTATCGTGAGGCAACGAATAAGGGAAATGAAGAAGGCCGCTCTTCAAACTAAAGTCGAAGAGCTGGAAGCTCAGAACAATAAAATAGCAATCAGGAATGAGATCCTTCAAAAAAAAAAAAGTATAAGAAGCTCTTTCAAACACTCCACGACGCTAGCTTAGCCAAAAAGAGGGGCGACGTCAAAATAAGGGGAGGAGGCGGGATTGCAGAAGAGGTCACGATGAACAGGACAACGGCGGGCCAAGGAGATGGGTGACATATGAGTGAGTTTTGGGTTTCTCGTTCAAGAGTTGGTATGATCTCGAGCGAAGTCAGACTCATTGAGGGGAAGATAATTGAATTTGAGCATGAGATGTTCGAATCAAAATTGAGCAGGAAAGAAGAGGTGGAAGAGGAAACTAGTGAATGGGATCCCACATGTCAGAAGGGGCATTTCTATTAGTGGAAGAAATGAAATAAAAGAAAGCAAGGGCAAATTTGAAACTCCACTGTGCTTATGAATAGTAAACTAGTTTGTTATGAGATTTAGTTTAGATTGAATTTTGATGTGGTTCTAATATAAGTGTTTATGAGTAACTACTTTCTAAAAATTCAATTCCAAACAAGCCCTCCCAAATTATAACCACAAAAGAATTAGACATTATATGATGACAGTCTTACTCTCCTAAGGTCTTCAATTTGAGAACCTGTGAGGACCAAATGCATATCAGTCACAAGATTATGTTAGTTTAGATCCAAAGGCTTAATATATTTGACAACTTAATAAAGAAAAACCAACTTAAAATCCATGAACAATTAAAAAACCCATTTTCTTGTTTTGAGCCCAAAACGTGGTTGATCAGTTTGCTGGCAGATTTCTCCATGTTTGACTAGGAGATTGTTTCCTAGTTTCTCTTAATTTATTTTGTTTCCTAGGTTCTAAGACATTTTCTAGGAAGGATTCCAATTATAGTAGTATAAATAAGGCATTTTGGCCAGCCCTAGTTCTTCTTCTCTGTGCGATTTTTGAGAGAGGAATTTAGCGAAAGCTTAGAGATTTTAGACTTTTACTTTCAAGGTGCTTTCATCCTTTATTTATTTCACTAAAATTCCTTTTGAAATCAATTATGAATTATGAATATATATAACAACCCGTCCCTAATTTTACGATTTTCTTAATTTAAAAAAAATGAATTAACGAAAATGCCCTTAGAGGCGAATCATTAACTTTCATTGACCATCATTTCATGACGCGCATTCATGTAGTACTCATTGCTACAAACGCGTGGGCATAAGCGGAATCAAAATCGAAGTTACAGTTAAAATTTTACGGAATTACGAACGTGAGGGTACTTTAGTAATTTTGTATTTTTGACATTTGGTCATTGATTATTCTAATATTTTGTGGTGGGATATTTTATTATTTTAATAATATTTCTGACCAGTCGGGCCCACACTTCACCCAACCTCTCATATCCTCTCTTGTTGCGTGTCCCTTCCTCATCTCGCTAATCTCTCGTGCTCCATCTTCCCTCAGACTCTCTCTCTCTCTCTCTCTCTCTCTCTCTCTCTCTCTATTTGATAACTCTCTCTTTTTCACTTACCCTCACTCTTCGATGCATCATTGGGCACCACCAAAACTACCATGTCGTCGCCACTCCGGCAAGCACCACTATAACCCCACCTGACTATCTAGATCATGAACCCCGAACCCTGGACTGGCCACTCTATCTCTCATTTCTCTGCACATTGGTGCTGCCACTGTTCAAGATTATTTCCTAGCAATTTCTCGCCGACCCCGATGAAGGTAAACCTCGAAAACCCCTAAATCTTCTTAGATTTTGTTTTGGAGTACGATTAGGGAAAATTTGAGATGTTTTGGAGATGTTTGGATGCATGAATCAATGCGGGGGAAGTTCCCCAGTTTTCCCACGGAGATCTGGCGGTTTTCGATCTATTTTTCGGCCAACACTGACTATAGCGCAGCCTCATTTAGGTAGATTCTTGTTCCTCATGTCGTTAGCTACATTTTGATTTTGATTAAGGTTTGAACCGTAATCGGATCTCGGGAATCATTGATAATGATTAAGGTTTGAACCCTCAGCGAAAAAAAAAAAAACAAAAAACCAATTCGTGGGCCAGATGTAACCCAAATCTATGGGCTAGATTTGACCTGGATCTGTGAAATTTTCTTGAAAACCCTTCTAGGCTAATATCGACGCCCCAAGTCCATTTTTGACATCCATTTAGTGAAATTCTGAAGTTTTAATGTAGTTGACCAACTCGACATCTTGGTTGACTTTTTAGGATTGACTGTTAACTTTTTGTTGACTTATTACGAAAATTACCTAGGACTCTTCTTAGCGTATTTCGACGCCATGATTCCAAATCCGCACTCCATTTTCTCAAATTTAATCGTTTTAGTGGAGTTTTACTAATGAGTACCAATATTATGCTTATGTGCGATTAATATCGGAGACTCCGGCTTTCCTAGTTGGAACAATTGCGACCTCGCAAGTATCTGTGAGTGGGTCTTTTCTTTTATATAGTATATATATTTGTTAGTTTCCACACACACACACACACACACACACACACACACACACACAAATAGATATATATATTTATTAATGAATTTTCGACGTGATTGCCATAATTAAATTAACGTTTACAAGAAATGTTGTAGTGTTGGGAAATTATGAACTAATCCTATGGGATACACATGTAAGCTTACTGTAAGGGGATGCCTTAATTAGATTTACAGTTATGAATAGTATTATGTTGATTAGAATTATCAAATTATCGATTTACCTTTATATGATTATAATTACGTTATCTGCTCATCGTGTGTTACACTGGTGTTTGTACTCGCCCAGGCCAGGGCCAAGCTTCACGTGTATGTTCATATCGCATCGTACATTCACTTTGGATCCATTATAGGTGCCAGTCCTATCCTAGATTGCTATAGGCAAGTAGGACTTGTATGTGATGCGCATAATGCCAATACTCACGTGATTGTAGTACTAGAGCGTAAATCATTATTACACCTAGTCATGTCCATGTCAAAATATCTCTGCATGAACTCCTGTGTCATCATATGTCGATGAGCACTCGATATGATATATTTGTTTATGCGAAATTATGTGATTATCAGACATTAGGTGTTTATTTACGAAATATTGTGACGTATTGAATTCTTGAGATATTGCTGGCTATGGTAAGTATTTTTATACTATACGTAATGTGTTATATTTGGAAACTATACTTGTTTACGGCGAGGGGATATTATGTTTTTGAAAAGGTTTTTCAAAACTTTATTTTTAGGCTCACTCACCCTTGTTTTTCGCCCCTTCAAGTTTTAGTAGCTGAGCTTTTGTGTCGACGAGGATTCTTGGAAAATCTTGGTACAGGTGATTACCTTTGATGGTATAATTCTCATTCTCCTTTTACTGTACTTTACTTATGCTCTAACATTATGTGTGAAATGGGTTTATTCCCGCTCACATGCGCACTCTTCCATTTAGACACTTCTAGGTTTAAATTTATTCACATTTTCCACCTCACTACACTTTATGACTTCGCCATCTTCTAAGTGTTGGCTAGCACGACTCGATTCGGAGTCCAGGTGGACATTCCGAGTCGAGGTGTGTCAGAGAACATGTGATATATGTTTTAAGGATTATACTGTTGGAGAGAAACTCAATCAAAATTATATCATATCATTATATTAAGTTTCATTTTTGTTTAGAATAAAAAATAGTATTCCATTAAATAATCATTTTCATTTTTTAGTTTGTAGAAACTATAGATTTTTGTTTCGTTGAACGCAACTATTTAGAAGGGGAGTGGAGAGATGTCCTAACTAATCCTAAACACAACTCTTGTGCAATGCACACGACTTATTTTGGATGGAAAACTTAACTGAGTTAAGGGTATATTACAAATTAATGATTTTTGAAAGTTGATATGACAAATCACTTAAAAGTTTAGTTCATATGACAAATTAATAAAATGTATAGGTTCATATGACATTTTTAATTTTTTTTCTTATAATAATATAACAATTGAAATCTACTAAGGCTTAAGAGTACCCTAGTTTATGTTGTTATAAAAAAAAAAAAAAAAAAAAAAGAGTGCCCTAGTTTATAGTAACACTTTTTTCTAATGATCTATTAATAACTAAATGGTATAGAAACAAACAATACAAGAATTCAATTTATTTTATCGTGCCCAAAATAATAATAATTTTTTTATTTATAAAAAACTTCCCTTTTATTGGTTGTGAGCAAGCGTGTTATGTGTGGGTGTATAGTTAATATAGTTTAGCATATCGATATCTTTTTACAAACCACAATATTCTGTTACAAGAAGATATAACACATTAACAATAATACAATTGCGTC